GGCGCGACGCGAGAACAAGTCAGCAGTTTTCTCGTTCAATGCGCTCCGCCGCCGGCGCGTCGTTATCTTTATAATTAAGGCCGACCGCGCGCGCGACGGACCGCGCCGCACAGTCTACGGTTGCATGGTCGTCATCGTCGTCGTTATGTGTGTGTGGGTAAAGAAAGCCGATTAAACACATCGGGTCTGCAGCCCGGCGGAAGAGATTATAATAATAATAATAATAATAATAATAATAATAATATATTACGATATCAGTTTCTAGTTTTTATGCTCGTAGGGAGTCTTCTTTATTTTCGTTTTTTAATTCGTTCGTCCGAGTATTGTTTCCACCGCCACTCTTAAAAATATTGAAATAGATACGCCTCACGAATTATTCACTAACCAACTGTGCACAACCGTTTTTCGAACGCCCGTCATAACACAAAACACTCGAATTTTCGGTTTTAATTAAGGAAGACACCCCCGCACGACAGAAGAGCGCAACATAGCAAATTTGCGTTCTCGGCGCGTAATCAGTTTTTCTTCGTTAGCTTAAATGTTTTGGTGATAACTTTTATTGACCTGCCATACAACWTAGATGGGTAATAAGTTATTATCACTAACAACATAATCTGAATAATCTGTTCAGCTGAACATTACAGCATACCTATACGTTGATTTTGTACGATAATTATTTGATTATTATGAGCATGCTGTGCCTATATGAATACATCAAAATATATTACAAATAAAAATGGTCACAACTATGTTTTAAGAAATGTACTAATGGGATCGTAAAAAATACCTAACCAAAGCACAAACTCAGATAGGTAATGTCCTCGCATTAATTTCTTACGACCGTATGCCAATATTCACAACAATATTAAAGCTAAAAGCACAAAATTGGTTGAGTGGAATGTAAATATCTGTTAAAAATATTCTGTTTTTTAGATGAGAGACGGAGGCAGCACACGTAGATGTGACGTGCTCTAACAAATTCTTGACTGGGTACAATTCAAACGAAAAACTCTGAATTACCTTCAAATCGTAAAACGCCTAAAATAACGATACTATACGTCCGACACGGATATCGATATGCATCAAAATCTGTATAAATTTATATTCGATTTTTATGGATAATTAAAAAAAATAGGACGGGCTATAAACCTGCGTACACATTTAT